GGGGTTGTGGAGACATGAGCTAATGCATAGGCAGAATGGAGTTTGGGTGGCGAGGGGGAGGTTGTGTGAAGGTAGACAGGAGAGAGGTTTTGTTTCCTTGACTTGATGTTCTTCTACTGTCCACAGATTGACTTTACCATGTGCAGTGGTCTTCTGTTTGTTCTGGTCATGGTTTTCTTCTTCTTCGGCTGGGCTTGTCTCATCACAAACCTTACCTGGGGAACCAGCCATGTAAGTTTCTATGTGTATGTGTGTTTTTGTAGTGGTACATGACGTAGTTTGTGTGGTAGTACATTGAGTGTGTGTGTGTGTGTGTGTTTGTCAGGTAGTAATGTGATTGTGTTTGTGAGGTAATACACTTACGGGACCGCGGACGAGTATACTCGCGAAACCCGACTGCTTCCTTAGGACCATGGACGAGAATACTTTCGAGCGAAATGGCTTTGATCTAAACAAAGGCTTGTCGATGTTTCTCCTAACATATTATTATGTTTTCGTTAAACTAATGATTAGTTCCGTTTAGTTATTTTGCTTCCGATTTCTGGCGATTAATATGGAAAATGATAAAGTTAGTTCAAAAAAGATATTTCACCGAGTCTGAGGTGCTTGACGAAACTCATATGAACACAGACAGTGTTGACTTGGACAATAACCATCATTTTATTGGATCGAGAGTCTTCCTGTTGAGGAGAAAGTGATTACAGATAAATCTAGAAAGAGTTATCATTCATTGAGGTGCAATTTACTCTATTAGAGAATCTAGATTTAGTCTTGTATCCTGTTGGGACCTGACTCTGGGCAAAAGTACTATTACATAATTGATTATTCATAAATTACTTCAACCCAAATATTTTTTCCAAAAAAATATGCCTGAGTATAGGGCCACATATTGTTAATAGTGTTGTGAAGTTTCTTCTCTATAACTTTACTAGGAGCTGAGAAATTCACTTTAGAATAACACATATCGCGCATAGTCAGAAAACAGGCGGCAACTGTGGTCTTACGGAAGTGAGAGCCAAGTGTGAGGCCAGTCCCGTAAGTGTTAAGTGTGTATGTGGGTATGTGCATGCATGTGTGTTTGTGTTTGTGTGGTATTTCTTCAAATTAGGGTTTGTGTCGGAGTACATTGTGTGTTTGTGTGGTAGTACTTCAAATTTGGGTTTGTGTCGGAGTACATTAAGTGTGTGGGTCAGTCTGGGAGTACAGTAAATGTTTTTGTTTGTGAGGTAATACTTTAAGTGTGTCTGTTTGGATGTGTGATTGTGTAAAAACATTAAGCGTGTGTGTGTGTGTGTATGTGTTGTGTGAGTGAGAGAGAGAGAGAGTGAGAGAGCAGAATATGCAAAAGTATGAGCTTACAGCACATAAGTTTGTATATTCAAAGAGTGCCATCTGTACTTTTCTTTCGAAAATGACTTCCACATTCAAGTAACAATTTTCAAAGACTTCTGTATGATTTAGGAAACAAATGAAAGGCTTGCTTAGCATCAAATATCAAATTGAAATATAAGTTTTTGAGTGGGTGGTTGGCGGGTGCTCTGGTTTGGTTTGCTCCTCCTTTCCTATCTAACATCTATCGTCCTTATCTCCCCTTTTTGTTTTTTATGTTTGTTACTCTCTTGTAACACCTCTAATCTTCTGGCGCTCATATGACCTTATGCAGTTGCGAGCGCCGTAAAACCCTTTATTATATATATAAAAAAGACTTGTTTGTGTCTTCGTGGGAGTCTGTCCTCCAGACTCAAAGATAGGAAAAGAAGTGTCTTTCTTCAATGTGTTGTTTTTTTTCAGAGAACCAGTGAAGAACTGGGTACAGAATGATGGCTTGTGGTTCTACATTTGTGCTTAGTAAGTATCACAGTTAAGTTTTGTTTACCTTTATAGCCATAAGCAGTAAAAGAACATTGGCTGAGATCTGTAGCAATGTATGACTTTATCTGTTGCTTGCACTGTATGCTTCCCAGGAAGCCAAGAATGGTTCCGAGTTCCGAGTGTTCAAGCTTCTGCTTGGGTAATAATAGGATCGTAAAGTACACAGAGCTTGTTGTTGATTGGGGATGTGCGCTATACAAATGTAA